CCTGGCATCTCCAGTTAAAAGAAACCAGGCAGGAGGTGATGGGAAAGACCTCCGCCTGAGACCCTGAAGAGCCATGGAGAAGGGGCTCAGTGGCAGAGCCTCTGCTCGGCATGCAGAAGGTCCCAGGTTCGATCCCTGACAGCATCTGCAGTTAAAAAGGCCCAGGCAGGAGGTGATGGGAAAGACCTCCGCCTGAGACCCTGGAGGGCTGTCAAGAGGGGCTGTGGCTCAGTGGCAGAGCATCTGCTTGGCAGGCAGAAGGTCCCAGGTTCAGTCCCCGGCAGCATCCCCAGTTAAAAAGGACCAGGCAGGAGGTGATGGGAAGACCTCCGCCTGAGACCCTGGAGAGCTGTCAAGAGGGGCTGTGGCTCAGTGGCAGAGCCTCTGCTTGGCAGGCAGAAGGTCCCAGGTTCAATCCCCGGCAGCATCTCCAGTTAAAAAGGACCAGGCAGGAGGCGATGAGAAACACCTCCACCTGAGACCCTGGAGAGCAGCTGCCAGCCTGAGTAGACAATACTGACATTGATGGACCGAGGTGGGTCTGATTCAGTATAGGGGCAGCTTCATGTGTGTCCCACAAGTGCAAGAGACCCTACCGATGCCGGAGACGTCCTGCCAAGCGATCGTCATCGTCAGATGGGCCATTTTGGGTCCCACCCCTGGCAGCTTCACCAACTCCGCCACCGTCTTCGGGATGTCGCCCCCGTAGTCCCGCTTCAGGATGGCCGAGGTCTCCTTGATGTATCGTACTTTGCTCTGTGGACAGAGGGAAAGGGGCATCCAGCTGGTGAGGGGGGCAAGGGGGGCGAGACTGAAGCCCGGCCAGGCCAGCGAGGGCGGCTGTACACCCCCAGGCAATGAACAGTCCCCAAGCATTTCCCCTCTGCCCTCATGATGATGATGATGATTTAGGAATCACCCTATCCATACTATTGTAGGGCTCTGGGTGAAGTACATAATATTAAAAACAGTCACCAAATAAAACAATTGAACATATTATAATCGCCATTCCCTCCCCACAACAGACACCCTGTGAGGTAGGTGGGGCTGAGAGAGCTCTCTCGAGGACTGCTCCTGAGAGAACAGCTCCGAGGGAACTTGTGACTGACCCAAGGTCACACCAGCAGCTGCATGTGGAGGAGGAGTGGGGACTCAAACCCGGCTCTCCCAGATTAGAGTCCGAGCTCCCAACCGCTACACAAAGGTTCAGTTCCTGACCCCAGCTAAAGCAGGGGTCCCCAAACTTCTTGAGCCCGTGGGCCGTTTCGGAGTCCTGACACGGGGTGGAGTTCTGACACGGGGGGGTGGGCACAACCACAAAATGGCTGCCACAGGAGGCAGTGCCAAACACCCTCCCTTGCGGGAATTCCAAGTGGAGGGGAGAAGAGGATTCGTTTTTCTTAAAAAAAAAAATACACTGGGAAAAAGGAGCGAGAGAATAAAACCAACTCCGCAGCGGCCAAACTGGAGCTGTTCTAATCTGCACAGCCAATCAAATCTCCAGAGGCCAATCAGAAGCCGTGCTGGGCAAAACCCCAACCTGGTCCCACCCACTTCGGGCACCCTGTTGAGGACCTCTGAGCTAAAGGCTCTCTGGCTCCGAGAAAGACTTTGTTCGGCCTCAGAGAACGTGGGAGACCGGTCGCCAACCAGAGGGAACGATAACAAACGAAACGGACTAGTGGAGTGACTCTAAATCAGCTCGAAATTAGCTGTTGTAGATTTTTCCGGGCTGTCTGGCCGTGGTCTTGGCATTGTAGGACCTGACGTTTCGCCAGCAGCTGTGACTGGCACCCTCAGAGGTATAACACAGAAAGAGGGAGTGCTCTCTGTGTCGAGGTGAGAAGGAAAATGGTAGGCAGGTAATTTAGATCTCCTCAGGAAGGTGGGGTAGGGCTGAGTCATTGTTGGAGTTCCCCGGGCTGTGAAACATGCTAATGGAGGAGCTTTCCAGAGGAGGTTCTTTTGTAGATGGATCGTTATTTATTTATTTACCTTCAATCTGTATCCCGCCTTGCCGGTGCAAACTGGCTCAAGGCGGCTTACACAAGTTAAAATCCCATAAAATTTCAATACAAACAATTACATAAAGTGCTAAATATAAACAGATGGCGGGAAATTTCTGTACATGGTCCGCTGGAGAGAGGCCATATCCGGCATTGTTACACAGAGCTGTGGTATGTTCAGTTTGCAATGGTTGTCAGTGGCGGCTCCTAATCGAAGGCCTGGTGGAAGAGCTCCGTTTGACACAGAGAGTACTCCCTCTTTCCGTGTGATCCCTCTGAGGATGCCAGTCGCGGCCGCTGGCGAAACGTCAGCTCCTACCATGCCAAGACCACGGCCACACAGCCCAGAAAATCCACAACACCTAATGAACTCCGGCCGTGAAAGGCTTTGTCAACATATCAGCTCAGAATGTTAGCTTGAAG